CCCCCGTTCCCCCCCCCCCCCAATCATTAATGTTTTTGCCATTACACAGCATACCACCAAAGTAAATTTTTTGAGCAAATATAGTTATGCATTTGATCTTGGTCAAATCCTGGTTTGTAAAAACAATTTTTTTTAAGGGAGGAAGCTGGAAATGATGAAAGCCAGAGTTACCTATGCAGTTCATATGCTACAAAACATAGTTTATTTTTTTTGCTTAATAAATACTCTGTTTTATTCTTTCTTTTTATTTGGGAGAGGCGTTTGGTGATTGCAAGAGGAAGAGCTCACAGGAAGATGACAATTTTCTTCAGGGCATTAACACAACCTGTGAGAGTCTATTAAAGCCCTAAAAGCATTTCCAAGCATTGAACCAGCCACTAATGCTATATAGCAGACAAAGCAACTGTGTTCAAGCCAAATTCAGTACACATTCTTATATAATGCGAGTCCTTCCACAAGTAGGAGGACAGTAATGTGTAATTGCTGTACACGGTGCATCTTACTCTCTCAATTACATCTCAATTACATCTCGTCTTTCAAGGCATGTAAATGTGATTGGTCACTGTAAGAAATTTCTTAGCCGTATTTATATATCATTTTACATCAGGCTTTCTGTATGCGAGAGACAGCAAGAAGTCTGCAATGCATTCCAGTTTAACAGTAGGCAAATCAAATAGATTACTGAGAAGTGGGACTAGGGCAGACCGATGTTCTTTTACAATGGGTGAATAAAAAAAAAAAAAAATTACAACAATGGATGAACTGAGCAACTAGGATATGCCCCCCATATGGAACCAAGCTTTAATTTTCAACACCGATTGTAATCAGCTATTTATGGCTGCACAGCAGTGCAATCACATATAACAAGAGCCCCAAGAAAGTTTATTTCTAAAATGCTTCATACCTGTGCTGGCATTACCCTCTTCTCCTCAACTTTACTAGTCCTCTTTTGGCGGTCAATTCTTTGCCGAACTACAGGAGGGTCTGTCTTAAATGAGCCCAGCCTAGGGAAATAAATATGGGATCAAAGATTGAACAGCTTAAAGAGGCTGCTAGAAATTGTGTACTGCAATGGCTCCATCTATCACTCACATGAAATGAAAGGTTGGAGTTCTTCTGAAATGTTTAGCAGCTTCACTTCCAAGTTTATGCCAAGCATCAGGGGGAAGATATCCTTTGGCGATTCCTTCTTCTTCACTGTCACTGTCTGGGTTTTCCAACCGATTAATGCCCATGAATGTAAGCTGCAATAAGCATTAATACAGTTTATTCATACAGCACTGAGAAATGCCGAGACAACCTAAAGAAACCATACTTTGGTTTACTGCAGTTCAATAAACATATCATCTGTATTTGTATAATTCTCCCGCGCTGTGAAAACCAATAACCAAAGAATATGCAAAAAATTCCAAAAATAGCTGCTGTGCCAACACAAACGTGTTACAAATCAAATGAAATTTGCACTGCGATGAAGGTTTATACAAACATAATTGTGATAAATAACCCCCCTGAAATCAAGTGATGTAACTATATTAATAACCTCTTAATAGTATAGTGATAAATCAGCAATCTGTAATATTAAATATATAAATAAATGTCCACATCCAAGTCCAAGAATATACAATTTTCCCTTTACATCCTGTGTCAATCACCCGTGGAGAGTGATATTATTTCAAGTACACCCGACCATGCTCCAAGTGAATATTTCTCCTTATACTTACTGTATCATCTGTAGTTGCTATGGGTTAGTAACCTAAACAGCACACCAATTTAGTAATAAGTCTGAAAATATTTGCAGAGCAGTGAATACATTCCATTCGCTGGATGAAAACAAAGAACACCGCCTGCACGTCAGTCTAAATAAAGTTTGTCTGGGTCGATTTATACAGTGGACATCCAGCCAAAAATGTTTGTGCTTGACAAAGTGAGAAATGGTTAGAACTAGGGATACACCGATACTAGTATTGGTGCCGGTGCTGAGTATTTGGGGCGAATACTCGTACTCGCCCAAATGCTCCGATGCCTAGCCCGATACTTCCGGTATCAATCATGAAGGCAGGCACCATGTAATGACGCGGCACCTGGTTTTCTGATTGGTCGGGAAGCTGGCTCCATGCTCCCCGTGACGAGGGAGCATGGAGCCGGCTTCCCGGCCAATCAGGAATCCGGGCTCCGCGTCATTACACTGCACCCGGCTTCCTGATTGGCCAGAAAGCCGGCTCCATGCTTTCTCTTTACCTAGTGACGGGAAGCATGGGGATGGCTTCCCTGCTAATCGAGAAGTCAGGTGGCGAGTCTTTACATGCTGCCCGGCTAATTAGGAAGCCAGGTGGCGAGTCATTACACGCCACCTGGCTTCCTGAATGGGACTTCCGGTACTCAGTATTGGCAAGTACCGAAAAAAAATATCGGTATTCGCACTCGATACCAAAATACTGATATCAGTGCATCCCCAGTTAGAACCCATATCAGGTGTTTAGTGTCTCCCTGTTAGTTGACAACACAGATGGGAATGAGTTATAGACTACAGCAGGGGTAGGTAACCTTGGCACGCCAGCTGTGGTGAAAATACAAATTCCATTATGGCTCTGGGAGTCCTGTCTGTGGCTGTCACGAGTCTTGCAAAGCCTCATAAGATTTGGAGTTTCACCACAGCTCCAGTGCTGAGGTTACCTACCCCTAGCCTATAGGGTACATTTGCCAAGTTGAAGAGGACATCCCAGGAGTTGCATCTCCATGGAAACACGGTCGCTGGATTGCCGGGAAACCTTCAGCAGTTTCTGCATTAGAAAGGGAGTCATTTTTCATCTAACATAAAAGGGAGGACAGGGAGGGAGCAAATGCATGTTTATGGGTAATCGTGTACTATTTGAAGCTCAACATGGGGCAAACTGCTAAACACACAGTTGCAATAAACACATAGGGGGAATTTATCAAAACTGGAGCAGACAAAATCTGAAGCAGCTGTGCATGGCAACCAATCAGCTTCTCTCTTCAGTTTGTTCATTTAAGATTTGAAAATGAAAGAGAAGCTGATTCTTTGCCATGCACATCTGCTCCAGATTTTGTTTCTCCAGTTTTGATAAATTCCCTTCTTAGTATGTCTTAAAGCAAAATTAATTTGCAATTCTGTCCAGCCACTTTTGTGATTTACAGCCTCTGCCAAACACCACAGCTAGGATGTCAAAACCACTATCTGTTCAGAGTTATTGCCTAAAAGGCTCCCAGTGCTGACTGGCTCCCTTCTGCAGTCTGGGTGCTACTGCATCACCGTCTTGACTTGAGGAAGGGACCCTGTGCAGCCCCGAAACATTGGCTATTTTGTCCTATGTGATGTTATTTGCAATAAACTATTTTTTTCTTTGCGTTTTGGAGTGCTGGTGACCTATCTTTACATCTCAGAGGTTGTACACGGCACCATCCGTGGTGGTCATTACGAGCACCTATCTTATCTACACTGGTCACAAAGCTGTATGGTGTGCGGGCAGGCACTTTCATCAGTTTATGGGCTCTACTGCAGACAAATTCAGGCACTTATGTGTCTAAACAAAAATATACATTTAATTATGAGAGAAAGAAACAAGTGCATTCAAAGGTGTTGCTATATCTTCTTGAAATTTAGCATCAATGCCAATTCTCACCAAGTCCAACTTACCAAGTCCTCTGCAAATGAAGTTGGGTCAAACACGGTCAGGTCTGCACGGAGTTGGCTCGCTTTCTCTTTCCCCAGGTTTGACGCCAAAACTAATAACTGAGCGTCAAGTGCGGCTTCTCTGGCTTTGGACACTGAAATTGCAAATACACGTATGGAACAAATTTAATGGTGGTTAGGCTAGATCATTTAACAGTGGTTAGGTGAACCTATGCCACGTGTGCAACAGAGGGCACGTGAGACTAGGTGTCAAATTCCTATCGCCCGGCAGTGCAGTTTCTGGAGTCGGCGGGTCGTTTTTTTCCACATTTAGCCCTACTTCAGAGAAACCAGGCTAAATGTACAGTGGGGAAGCCGGTGTTTTAGTACAAGAGATCCTGGCAAAGTTCAGGATGGAGAGCGGAGAGGAGAACGTCCGTTCTCTGCTACATGTAAACATTGGGACAGGGGAGCTGCACTCATAGCCTTCCCATCTCAGCTGTCACAGGAGAGCCAGCACAGTGCTAAAACTCCTGTATTGGAAGTAACAGGTTCAATGAAGAGAACCTGTCACCTCCAAATGCTATCACACAGGGGATTGTTATCACCTGTGTGATAGCAATAAAGTTAAGTTAAACAAAATAAGTAAAAGATAAGAAAAAAATTATAAAAATGAAAAAAAAAGTGATATAAAAGTAAAAAATAATAAAATCAATAAAAAATAAAACTAAAACATAATAAAAATGTAAAAAATAGTGATAAAACAAGGAAATACGAAATAATTAAACGTTTGAATATGTGTGTTTACCTATTTTGCCTAAGGCAGCAATGCTGAACTTTTTTTTTTAAACCCCAGCACCCAAACTAAAACACAATACCAAACTTATTGTCAGTGTTGACACTTTGAGATAAATAAATTGATTTTACATCACAGTTTGGGTGCTCGAGCTCAAAAACGTTAGCCATCACTGGGCTACATAATGCGTAGTGACTAGTTTGTTGTACAGAATCCACAAAAGTAGGAAGTTATCTGCGGCAGGCTTCAGTCAGTGACAGGCCCACATATACATGGGAGATTACACTTCTTCCCAATCAGTATCCGGTAAAACCAAAATCAGACAATGGTAAACAGATTTTCTCTGTGCATGTGTGTGACTTTTTGCCTTGTCCGAAATTATATGTGAACAATTGTAATACAGCACCCAAAAACCAGCACCCTTCTAATGTAGGGGGTGGGTTTTACAGCTATCCATGGTAAAGTGCAACTGAAGCCAAAACTTTTCTTTTCAGTTTTGGATATAGTGGAGAGAGATTTGGGCACTTGCCTCCTTCAAAGAGCTTATTGGCTTGTTCGAGGGTCTCGGTCAGCTTGTTACTACGGGAGCTGAGCATATCTTCTCTGTTCTCTGCAAAAAAAAAAACACAACACGTTATTACAGATTGCAAAGGTACCTCTGACCGAACAATGGAAAAGGATAGCAAAGCTTAATTTTGCAGCAGGGGGTGCCACAGTGGTTAGCAAACTTGGCCTGCAGCTCTGGGTCTTGGGGTAGCACAGTGGTTAGCACAATCGCCCTGCAGCTCTGGGTCCTGCCCCCAATTGCCTCCTGGGATACAATCTGTGTATAGGATATGGGGACACCAAGGGACATTCCATCGCTGCAGCAAGCCTGAGGATTGGGTGACTATAACTTTATTTTCCTCCATAGACCAAAACAAGCAGTTAACCCTTGCAGTGCAGGGGTAGCCTCACAAGGGGAAATGATAATGTTCCCAGGAATTCTGCTTTAAAAGCATGCAAAATCTTGAGGCACCCCAATCTAAAGTTAAAAACATTTTAAAAAAATGGTGTGGCCCCTTCAAAATCAATACCAAACCCTTATCCCAAATAGGTGTCTGGTATGGATTTTAATTGAGGACCCCAAACAAAACGAGGGTTCCCCTTCACATTAGAGCCCCCCTCCCCTTCAAATAAGGAGCCCCCTTTCCCATCAGAGTCCCCCCTTCAAATAAGGAGCCCCTTTTCTCATCAGAGTCCCCCCTCTCACCCCCC